TTTCTTGACTGCGACGACGGGCGCAGGGGAGTCTTTGATGGGTGTGGGGACGACGAATCGCGGTCGGCGCTTCGGCATGGGCATCGGCGGATTATCGACGTCGATGGGCTGGCCTTTTGCGGAGGCAGGAGAGCTCATGTCGGTGAGGTTTGAGGACTCGTTCTTGGGCATGAGGCGGTTGGGGGTGAGGATGTTTGGCGAGTCGCTGGGGTGGTGCTGAGGAAGCATGGCGTCGTTGGACAACTCGAGCTTGAGGCGGGAGCCTCCCCTCCGCGGCAGGGTGCCATATCTGTTCTGGGCGACGGCAGCATCGTTGTCGGCGCCGGTCAGGTCGATCAGGTTCTCCTTGCGAACGGGCGACTGAGGCAGATACTGTTGGGATAGGGTGCGCTGGTGGGTTGGCCGTTGGACCGACAGGCCGGAGCTGCTGAGGGTTCGCTGCTGGGGCGGTCGCGGCTGGACGCCCATTGGGGTCCGGGAGGTCATCGCAGGCGGATGGACTTGAGCGACATTGCTGATGATTCGGGAGAAGTCTTTTGGTGGATTTGGGGGGGCTCAAGGCGGGATGGATGGGCGGCGGGCTGGGATGGGATTGTGTGCGGCGTTGAAGGGTTGTCGTCGTGATAGGAAAAGGGAAGGGGGGATATCGGTCGATGGGTTTGGGTGATGTCGGGGATCTGACGGCGTCAGCCGCGCTATCTGTGCAGGGCCTTGGGTCTGGTAGGGAAGGCACAGGTACCGTCCAGTGGTAAGCAGGTGCGTGCGTGCGTGCGGTGCGGCCAGAGCCCGAGGTGCGCGCGGATATTCCACGCCTGGCGCTGTGAGTTGAGTACGGTACGGATACGGGGGGTTCGGTTCGGGGAGCAGTGCGGTGTTACAGTGGGCCTCTGGTGTGAACGTGGGAGGCAAGTGCCCCAGCACAGTGGGCGAGGGAAGTTCAGGCGCAGTATCTCCGAAGGTTCCCGCGCGTGCCAGGTTCGGCTTGTCAGATGACTCGCGACGGCCCGCTCGAAATCTTGTTGCGCTCAACGTCGCGTGGCGATGGCGGAGGTGGTGATGTGAGGGGAAGGGGAGATGTCTTGATGCAAGAGGGACGGAGAGGATATCATGGGCGAGGGTGTGCGAATGTGACGAGCGAGTTGCCAAGTGATGATGGCGGCCGGCTGAACACCACGTTGGGCAACTAATCGAAAGAGACAAGTTGAATCGTCCAACTGTGAGGGAAGGTAGCTTCAGCTTGCAGTCAGCCCAGTGCAATAAAGTCCGAACCCAGGGTTTGGGTGGTGTGGTGGTGGTGGATGGGAATGCGATTGGGATTGTGATTGGGGTTGGAAAATGTATGGCAAAGGGGGGACAGTGGCAGCAGCAGCGGACAGCGGACCCGACAGCAGTCGTCCATCGGCGTTAGCCCGTGTTGGTGGTGTACCAAAGTAAAAACCGCTAGCCGTGGGGCGCCACCGATGCGATCTGCAGTTCCAGCGGGACGACGTCGCTGTTTGGGACACGGCCTGGGGGGAAAAGATTCCGAGCTCACGGACGATTCCTTACATTACGGAGCATCCGTAGCTTTGAGTCTTTTGTTGACGGGGTTGAGTTGCGAGGCGCTGTTTAGTCAGTCTGTTGGGCTATCTCTGCATCATGTACCTCCACCTCATCACACCTTCAGTCAGCGAACGTGTTCAGTCTCTCTGTTGTTCGGCTACTGATACCGCTGAGTGTATTACCGAATACCGATACGCAACCTGCAAAATCAACTCGGTGGCAGGAACGAACTCCACACGTCCTCAGTCACCTCAGGCTCAGCATCCGCTAGCACGCCGTGGGCGCGCCAAGCCCGCGTGGGCAGGGTTGCCTCTCATGGGCCGCCGCGCCTTTCTTTATTACGGATCCTATTGGCTCCTCCGCCCAATGTCGTACAGCTGATTCGCCCGCCGCACCGCAGTCCCTGACTTTTGCCGGGCCCTGGCTGGCTGTGAGTGGCTGGCTGTCGCGAATCCACTGTCTCTCCACGCCGGCCAACTTACCAAGTCTCTCTTCTCTCTGCTCCGAACATTGCCCGGACCAAGACACCAGGTCTCGGAGTATGCAAGTCACAGTCGAATCGAGAACCAAACACATCTTCATCGTCATCCTCATTGTTCTCCAAGCAATCTGTCATCCTCGCCAGACACAACCTACATTAGCTCCAGCTTAGATCCAAACTCTTCCCAGCGTTAAAAATTGGAAGCTGACAGAGCGGACCCTGGGCTTAGTCAAACCATACCTAGGTACCTACCTACCTACCTATCCAGGTAAACTGCTGCTGCCGCCGGCCGGGAACCCAGGAACACCCCCCAGGCCCCCGGGGCCCCCTTCAAACCCTCTCTCTCGGCAAACCGTACCGCTGGAATGGGTCTGGGAGACGAGAAACCACAGAGAGCACGCTCACGGAACCCGGAGAGGGAAAGCCGCCAACGAGAGAAAACCTACCTACCTAAACACTGCACCTACCAAAACGCCTCAAGGCCTGGCCCGCGCCCATGACTTCAAGCTTCCCCTTTCGGGAAGCCATCCCTCGCCTGTTTGTCCCAGCAGACGCCACCAAAGCCCACAGCCAACCAACCACTCGCTCCCAACACCGCATCGATCACCAGTCACCAGTCACCACCCATCGCTGGCTGTCTCTGTTCATCTGCATCCGATTTGCCCTGCAAACCTCCACTGTCGTTTTGTCTTTGCCTCCTCCTGGGTGGGCAACATACGACGAGCAGCAACATAACAAGGCCCCCCCCAAAGACGAAAACATCTGAGCGGCGCACCGCCGTCAGGGAAACGTTAACGGCACAGCTATTCGTAACAACCACACACAAACACCCGGCCTTCCTTTTCCCGCGTTTCGTCCAGAGAATCCAAAATCCCACCGGTCCTCAGCCAATGCGGACGTCGCTATATTCCCCTCGGCTTATACGATCCCCATCCTGGTTGTTGTCCCAAGTCTGCTTCCCCCCTCTACGAAGATGCCTACCACGAATAGCAAGTTCGGTTTCTGTTCCCCAGGTACGTACGGAATCCTCTAACCTGCTGGCGCGAACGAACCAGCCATTGACAGCCCACCCGTCGGGGGGCCTGTAAACGCAAAATCGGACAAGACCAGACCAGACCAGACCAGGCACCGGGCCGCCATGGGATGGGGTGGTGCGCCGCCGTCTATGTGTATCGTGCTAAGGGCCCTGTCTCGATATGGCCGAATCGTCGCCAGGTGTCACGCAATCTGCCATCGTACTGCATGCGATCCGCCGCCAATGAAGTGTCTCGCTCACGACGCCTGCCGAGCCGGTCCAGTGCCAAACAAATCACCACTGATGCACACAACGATTGCGCATCGGGGATCCCTTCAGCTGACACCCGCCGTGTGACCCCATCAACATATCGCACTTGGCAGCGTGCCTGGACTCACTGGCCAACATGTCGTGGAAGCCGGTGCAAGGTTCACTAAAGGCGAGACGGTGCCAGCTGGACTGCCTCTCTTCGGGCTCTTCGTCCCACCACGGCCATGTCCATGTGGCATGCCGCGCTGCCCGACTGGGACAATGTCTCGCTCGCTACCTGATTTAGCCAGCGGGTATTTGGCTCAAAAACACACGGGTGAAGTGGCGGCATGCCCGTCTAAAACCACAACAAGTGGTCGACATTGACGATGATGATGATGATGCCAAAGACAGTGACAGACAGCTCGGCAATCCAGCTGGCCCACTCGTCGTGTCGCTGCAACCAGGACTTGTCCCGGTACGCGCACCATACAACGCAAACACACCGCATCTCTGGCCGACGCACCTCGACGGGAACACCCTCCATCCGGCTGAAGGGACCTGCAGGGCCCGTGTGGGGGCGGACTGGAAGCAAGCACCTCAAGCAAACCAAATGCTCCTGTAGGTCGGCCGCGGCGTGCCTGCAGCAGCAGCAGCAGCAGCAGCAAGGCGGCCTACGTACCTATCTTTCCCTGGGCATGCAAGTCTGCCTGCCTGCCTTCGCCAGCCTGCAGGAAAGGTGGCCCGCAGATGACGAGACTTTCCGCCCAAGATAACAAGACCATCGTAAGAGCTGGGCATGCAGGCCGCTCAAACGACACCAACAAGCCCCCGAGAGAAAACCTCCGGTGGGCAATCTCGGAGAATGCGGAGGAGACGGCCGCTGACCAACGACTACATTTTTTTGCTGATTTTGTGATTTTTCGGCTGCAATCTGTAATCAACGCTCTCGAAACCCAGCTTTCTGAAAGATTCAAGTTCCGCCGTGTCCATTGGGAACTCCATAGCCCGCGCCCCTCCGCAGGCCGCATCTCCCGAAGTAAAAGGCCCCGCAAAACCGGCCCCCAGGATTTCTTACACTGTTGGAGTTCGCAAAGCCAGACTCGCACTTCGTGGCATCTCGCACCGCTCCATCTTCACAGCCGCAACTTCTCCAATTTTCGCACCGCGGCAAAAAGCAACGAACGAGAACAACCGCATCCTCGTGAAAACCCCCCTCGCAAACCAACCGGGATACGCCCGGCCCGCGGCACAGCTCAGACGGTGCTCCCCGTCCGGTCTCAGGCCAAGACGACACCCAGAATCTCAGAGTGTGTCCCTTCGTTATCGGAACCTCACCCGCGTAAAGTATCGTAATCATGGACGTGAAGTAAAGTAAACTTGTCGGATCGGGTTGAGCAGCGCGGCGTTCGGAGGACCCGCCCGACGGCTCGCGCGGCCAATTGCAGCTGCAGCGGCCACGCCGGGTGTGGCTGTATCCGAGAACGTGGTCGGCGGAGCGGGGGCGAGGGATTGGCCCGGATTTGCTTCCCCAGCTTGGGAGGATGCCTAACTTCCCAGGCGTGAAGTTTGTGTGATTGCGCCTGGGGAGCTGGGGAAAGCTTCACCTCGCAAGGTAGTAGCAGCACGTGAACATCGCGACGACGTGCAGCAATCTTTCTCTGTCAATTTGCTCGTCCCATAACCCCAATCTTCCGCACCGAATCCGAAACAATGGCGAGCAAGAGGGATATGCGCCGGCCGGACCTGAGTAAGCACTTCACCCATCCTTCAATTGGGAGGTATCGCGATGGCTGACCCGTGCTGCGTACAGTCGTCCCCTATCAGGAGCCCCGAGCCAAGGGCGAGAACGCCGAGTTCTCCTCGACGCTGTCGTCCACGCTGCCCATGGCCGCGATGCTCACGCGGAACAAGTTCATCGGATGGTACGCAGACGCCTTTGATTCCCTCGCCGGCCCCTATTCGATTCCCGCGGACGATACGTGGCACATTGGGATCTGGACAAGTTGCTGACACGATACAAAAATGCAGGGCCTCCGTCGTCTTTTCCGTGCAGACCTGGCTCGGTGAGAGCGAAGAGACTAAGAAGAGCTCCGCGACGCCGGGGTACTTCTCCGTCGGCATGTCAGGTACGTTCCCCTCCCGAAGCTGCGGCACTGGGTGGCAGATAGCTAACGGGCGCGCGACAGTCATGGCCCTGGCCGTTACTTACCTCCCCATGTTCCTCCCCCCGCCCGTCCAGCGCGGCGCCGCCACCGGCACTGGGCCCGCTGCCCCCGTTCCCCCGGCGTAGACGACGGGTTGTGTATGATTATCAGTCCGGACGGATAGTACGAGGTTCAGGCGGATGAGGCTTTTATGGCGGTACGATATCATGGGAGGGCCAGTTGCAAGAGCAAAATACAGCAGGCGCGCGGATGACGAGATGCCGGGGAGTTCGGCGGACGATTTGTAGCATAATACCTCACCGGGCCCACGCACCGCGTGGCGCCTTTCTCTTGGTACAGAATATCTTAATAGCAGCAAGCAAGCATTGAACGCACATGATTCCGTCAAACAAACCTCCAGATTGTCATGTGATGGTGCCTGCGTTGGTATGTGTAGGTGGTTTCTAGGGAGGATGCGTCTTATGTCGTCATACCTGGCCGTCAGATAACAGCCCGGGAGTCGCAGCCTCGCCTCAGCTGCGACGTTACAGGTTCAACCACCAGATCTGCGCAGCACAACAATTATTTCCCGAAATTGCGGAACAGATCTGGGAAAGATGGGATCCCAAGTCATAGACGAGGCTTCCGTCCTCAAGCAATTCGACGCCCTCGTGCGCAAGGGGACGGTCCTCTACAGCGACGACCTCAAAAAGATTCACCACCAAGATGGCGGGTTCGAGGCACACCACCCCTCCCCCATCTCGTCTCCCGTACACCCAACTAACCAACACAGTTTGAATTCCGCCTCACCTCGGCCCTGAAAACCAAACCCGCAGCCGTGTTCGACAACTCGGAGCTCGACGCCGCTACCACACCGCCAAAGTCGCCCTCACCCGCCGCCTCCAACGGCACAAACACGCCAATGGAGCTCGACGCAGAGGGCCAGATCCCCGGCGGCGACATCTCCGTCGCGGGATTTGTGATTAATCCCGTCAACAACACGCATGTGCTCATGTTCAACAAGTTCTGCGCGTACAGGCCGCACCTGATCCTCCTCACGGCGAACGGCTACCGGCGGCAGTTTGAGCCGCTGGGGAGGGAGGACCTAGAGGCTGCGAGGGACGTTCTGCGCGGGCTGAATTCGAAGGGAGGGAGTGAGTATCTTGTGATTTTCAACTGCGGGAGGGACGGCGGGTGTTCGCGGCTACATAAGCATATGCAGGTCATACCCGCCCCGTCAGATTTCCGGCTATGGCCTGATGTGAGGGAGTTAGAGGCCGCGGTGCCGTATGAGTGCCTCCTCAAGAGGTTCGAGAACGGGAATCCCGGGGGGGAGGGGTTGGGCGGGATGTATCGCGAGATGCTCCGCGCGGCGACGGCGCTGGTGCCTGGGCGGGAGGCGGTTGTGGAGGAGGACGGGGACGGGAACGGGGTTGCGGTGCCGCATAATGTGATCCTGAGCGAGCGGTGGATGGTGGTTGTGCCGCGGACGAAGATGGATGTGGAAGGGGGCGGGGTGAATGCGGCGGGGATGCTGGGGATGGTGTGGGCTTCGGGGGAGGAGACGTATGAGCAGTGGATGAGGCTGGGGCCGAGGGAGGTTCTGGCGGAGGTTGGTGTGAGGAAGAGGTAGAGTGTGGAATGATGATAGATGGTTGAATTCGTAAAGAACAATGTACAGGATGTAAGCGATATTAGAGCAACTAGACGACAGTACGGTTTGGATTAGTTTCTCAGCAGCGAAGATATATGTGTCATTATAGAATTGCTTCTTGCGTCTCTAATACTTCTCATCAGCATCTTGACTGGCTTATGCGCCGCCGTTGTCGTAGGTAGCAAGAGACTACTCTCGCGATACCCTCTCAAACAAACCCCAGCCCTCACCCTCTACAACTTCCCCTTCCTCTCCTTCTTCTCCAGCACAACATACCCCGCCTCTGCCCTCGCCAGCACCGCCCCCTCCTCATCCACCATCTCTAGCTCAACCGCAAACGTCCTCCCCTCAACCCTTACCAGCCTCGCCACAACACCCACAACCGCCCCCACCGGCACCGCCCTCCGATACTCCAGCTCTAAAGTCCGCGTAACATGCGGGAGCATCTCCATCCTCCCATACATCTTATTCACGAACCCCACCGCGCCAGCGCACTCGTCAAAGATGGAGGCCACGACGCCGCCATGCACGCGCTCGCGCTCGAGGGTGCTTAGCCCGTGGGAGAGTTTGAGGAAGAAGCGGACGTGGGCGATGTAGCGGTCTCCCAACTCTGTATCTGAGTCTGAGGTGGAGGGGGAAGTGGGGTGGAAGCAGCCGATGAAGTAGGGGATGGTAGCTTTGCTGTTCAAGGTGACGCCCCAGAACTCGGAGGCGCGGACGGCGGGGTCGAAGTGCCGGGTTATGGGCGGCATGGAGATGAGGCCTGGCTCGCGGAGGGTGGCGGAGACCCAGGGGATGGTGTTGAAGTAGGCGATTTGGTCGGCGTAGGCTGGGTCGGACATTGTGGCGGTGATGGTGGTATGTGGGTGATGCCGTGGATGGTTTTTGAGAGGTGAGACTGAGTTCGTCTTATGTTTCTTGAGATAAAAGTGAGATACCGTAAAGAAACGGCCGGGTTGGCGAGGGTCATGTTCCCGGGTCTGCCGTGTTCAAGTATCTACGGCGGAGGTAGCCCGGCCACCCGGCAGTTGGCCGTCGGATTTCCGGAGTACGGCAAAAGCCCTATCGGTGGATCACGGCAATTGAAGAATTGCATGACGTGGAGCATCGCGATATCAGAGTTTATTCTTGGCAAGAACTCTGATATATCATGTTCGGGGGTGTTCAGTAATCTGGTGGTTTGAGTTGTGTAAGTTGGGATGGCATGTCTTGAGATACGAGTTCGACAACTCCAGGATGATGAAATATTAGAGAAAGCAGCTCGGCTTTATTATCACGGACTACCGAGCATTGTAGATTGTATTTCATTGAATGGCATTTGCCACTTGCTGGTTACTACCAGCCAATAAGGTAGAGAGTACTGTGTTGGAAATGAATTATTTATCTCTATTCTCATAGCTCTAGTTGTCATCATTGGTTTCGTTGCTGTTACTACGCTCTCGTCATATCTGTCGTCCTCATCGTCTCTGTTTTCTTTCCTCTTGTCGTCCTAGCAATACCTTAACTACGGTTTCTGCCATCATTTCCTCTTTTCAATCAAAATGCAGTACCTCCATGGATATCAGCATTGAATAAGTCTGTCTTCAACACCAGGGAGAGTACGCTACCACCATTATCAATCTCTTCTCAATGGTGATGAAGTTATTGTAGTGTGAAAGCTTTAAAGCTTCACGAAAGCATCTGTCTCCCTCCAAAACTCCTCTGGCGCCTCGATCCACGGAAAATGCCCAGCTCCCGCAAGAACCTTGATCTCAGAATGTTTGATACCATCGGCAACAGCCTGCGCTCCCGCTCCACTACAAACCGAATCCTCTTCCCCTTGAAGAACCAGCGTCTCGGCCTTGACTAATCCAGCATCCTTGATATGAGGCAGCGTGTTCTCCTCAGACATATCAAAACGGTTTGTCTGCCACGCAGATGCAGTCGCGGGGTTCTTGCTCGCCACGGGCCCGGCAATGTCCCGTCTCAGAACGTCAGCATTCTTCACATCAGCGAACCACCACACGAGCATCGTGTCCAGAGACTCCCTGAAGTGCTCATCGTTCCTGGGGCCCCCGGCCTTCGCAATCTCAATCAGCTTCTTCACAGAAGGAGCATACGCCTCATCGTCCTTTCGCTTCTCCATCCAGGCTCTAACATGGCCCGGAGTGCAGTCCATCACCTGCGGCGCGATAAGAAGCAGCTTAGAGACGTTTTCCAGGTACCGCTGGGCATAGCGCAACGCGATGGCGCCGCCGTGCGAGTGTCCGATAAGACCCCACCCCAACTTCCGAAACACCCCCACTTCCGAAACGCATCAAAAACCGCGTTTTCGCATGCTACCCTCTATATATCTCTAACTTTATCTTCTTCTTTCTTAACTACTATAATTAATATTAATATTTTTAAAAATACTACTATACTTTAGATAGCTATATATAATAAAAGCTATATTACTATAGCTATTATAGCTATATATAGTAGTAAATCCTATTAGTAAACCTTAAGAGAATAAGGTGTACTATATCTTACTATTTATTATAGAATTAATAGTAAGAGGCCTAAAAAAGAAGCTTATATAGGCTAGTAATATATCTTAGTATAATAAGAAACCTCTCTTGCTATATAGGTTCTTATGTAGGTATTATTAAGCTTTACTCTAAACTACTAATATATCTAAATCTTTATAACTTAGATCCTCTATACTAGTAGTAATACTTAACCTCTCAGTAAGAAGTAGATAGAGGGCTTCTTATATTATAACCTATCCTATAAGATAGTAAAGGCTTAAAAGATAGATACTAAATATATAAAATATATTATAATTAATAGTATTAAGTTATTCTTTAAGATCTTCTAACTTCTAGTAATTAAGATAATCCTAATAAGTTTTAGATAGAATATAGATAAGATAGGTATTACTAAAGGCTTATAAAAGGATTATTTAGTAGTAGGATATACTAAGAAGCCCTTAGTATTTATTTAGAGTAATAAAAACTACACCTAGATAATAATTATTAAGTATATCTCTACTACTAGTATATATTTACCTCCCCTTATTATCTTTAAGGGGAAGACTATCTAATAGTAATAGTTCCTTAATAATCTATAGGAGTTTAAGAAGTAGTAGTTTATATTATTAGTAAATAGCTAAATATTAAATACTATTAGTCTTAAGTAGTTAGATAAAATATTTATACTAAGGACTACTATAGAGGTGAAGAGACTATAATCTAAGTATCTACTAGTTATTAATAGCTATAGTAACTATATTTCTAATGATTTTATATAGTAATACTATATATATAATATTTACTTAATATATCTACCTATATACTTATTATATATCACTTAGCTACTTAATATATTAGTCTTTTTACCTCTAAAAGTGTTATATAGGTATTAACTAATAGATTAGAACTTCTAGCTAAATTTAGTACTAATTAATAAGTAGAACTTCTTCTAATACTATTTATATATAAGATCTAAAGCTTTATAATTATATATTATTAAAGTAGGATAGGTAGTAATAAAACTATAGCCTATTAATATCACTAAGTTACTAATAAATAAGTTTATCTTTACTTTAGCTCCTATAGATATTCTAAGAGCATTATTATAAAAAGAGGTAGCTATAGATAATCAGAATATTATTATAACTCTAGAAAGCATTATAGTTAAAATACTTAAGTCCTCTACTAATTTATTATAGTTTAAATAGCTATTTTATAATAGCTTATAGTTAAGACTAAAAGCTATTAATCTAGTAGTATATATACTATTTATTAAGAAGCTAAGTAAATATCTAAACCTTAATAATATATCTAATACTAATAATTAATAAATAATTAAGTCTCTAAAAGCTTAAGTTAAAGTACTATAACTAAAAAAACAAACTAAAGTTAAGCTAGATATAAATAAACACTTTATAATAATTAAGTAGATAATTAAGAAGAAATAAGAGGTATAGAATAACCTAAATTAGGTGAAATTAGTATTATTTAAAAGTAAATTATTAGATAATAAAGAGAGTATAAAATTATATATTTTTATTATAGATTAATTAAGATATTTAGCGATATAACAAAATATAATTATTGTAGTGAGGGTTAAAATGTATCGAAAGTGCTGTTTCGGAAGTGGGGGTGTTTTAGAAGTTGGGGTGGGGTCTTAAGAAGCGGGAACGCTTTGATACCGAGGTGAGATCGTAGGTGTTCCAGGTCCTCGACCATGGTCCTCGCGTTCATGGTCGATGGATCTGCTTTGCTGGAGTCGCCATTGCCGCGGGGCTCGAAGTACAACACTGTGCGGCTGGCCTCGAGGCGTGGACCTAGGCCGTTCCAGAGGTAAGATGCGGAGAGACCCCAGCCGACGGATTGGATGACTGCGAGGGGGCCGGCGCCGCGGATGAGGTAGTTGAAGCGGACTCCGGCCGAGTGGAAGAAGTGCTGGCTGACGGAGAGTGGAGGTGACATTTTGGGGAGGTACTTGATACGAATTGCAAGATTTTGCCGGGCAAGGTGGTAGACGTTCCGGTGCATCTGACCGCGTTTCTGATCCCCCAGGATGAAAGGGTGAAGGAGTATATCCGTAAGCAAAGCTCATTGGGGTTAGATCCGTCAACCACACTAAAGTCTGACATCAATCCCGCGAAATGATGCTTGAGAGAAAAAGTATTACATCCTGGATGACTTATCCTTAGACGTTTGGGCAATTTCCCTGCCTTCGCTCATAAGAAGATCACCTGTTTTATCTCTTTTTGTACGATACTCCTCATTCTGCTACATGCCGTGAGACACTCGAGTGCCTCGTTCAATCGTGTTATCAATGCTGTCCACATCAGTTGCGTAGAAATCGTCGAGCTCCTTTTTCCACGACTCCAGTTTGTCCATCGCCTCATCCTTACTAAGTCGATGACCATCAATGCCTTTCATCTGAATGTCGACTGCATGAGCTTCCATGAGAGTTTTCATGGTCTCAAATCGGTCGTACCTCTCATACACATGCATAACAGGTCCTCTTGATGCTTGACAAGCCTGGCGTGACCCGTTGTAAACATCGTCAGTAATAAAAACAGAAAAGTCAGACCCAATACTTTTCAAAAATAAGTTGACTTGGTATGATTTCCAAGAAGCCACTCTTTTCATCATGATCTCCGTGATCGTGATGTCATCTCCGCCCAGTCTCATAAGATGGCCTACATGTAAGAAGAACGAGTGTGGGAAGAACGAAGAGTCCAGGACCTCCTTGTTTTCAAAACAAGTCTCCAAACAGCCTTGTGTGAAGCCAAATCCATCCTGGCATGCCAAGAAGTCTAAAGTGGCCTTTCCCCCCAAGCGGTTGTCCGTAGCACTTAAAATCAAGTCAGTTGTGACTTTTTGCCCGCCCTCTATTCTGAAAAGCAGATGGAGCATCTCTACGCTGATTTCGCCGTTTCTAGAAGCCGCGCAAAAAGCCTCTGCAGGGATCTTGAGTTCAGGATGCTTCTCAGAGAGGAACTTCACGATATCCAACCCAAGCTTCCGGTTTCCAGCCGCCAAAGCCAACGCACGGTCACTTGCTTTGGCGTCTGGGCTCCGTTCATAGAGGATTTTCAGCACTTCCAAGGCACCATGCCACCTGGCACACGCTTCTTCTACCATCTTTTCTGTTACATGAAGATCAGAACGTCTGGAGAGAAGAACATCCACAGTATCTGGATCGCAACTTCCGTTTCCGATAGCTGAATAGATCATTAGATCCGATAGCTTCAGAGCAGGCCGCTCGTGCATCAGTAGCTTGAGTATGTCGCCACCATGGCAAATGTTTCGGACTGCGAACTCAAACAGCTTCGTTGAAGATTCCGTATCTGGGAGCCTCTTCAAAATCAGGCTCAATATGCGGATACCCTCGGTTCTCCTTGCTAAAAGTTCCCAATCTCGTTCTGTGATAGCTGGCGCGGGCGTACATGTGAAAAGAAACTCAACGGTCTTCATTTTTCCGTGACTATTTGCAAGCTGTATGGGTGAACCGATGTTCAAGGGATTGTAGTTAACGTCGGCGTTTCTTTGGACAAGCATTTTGACCATGTCCAATTGTCCGTTCCATGATGCAGCTTGGAGAGGGCTGACCTTGTTGCTCATTGCTCGGCGTGAATCAAAAAGATTTGTTGGTGCGATCTTCTCAAACAAGTGCACAAATCCAAAGAAGGCGGCAAGGCTAAGCTGGTCAAAGCTCTCGAGTTCCAGGTTGAAACTGCGCCTAAACATGCTAAAAGACGTATTACGATCCAGCCATTTGACAGTGCCGGGTTGTGCGACATCGCAGAGTGCCCGGATTTGGTCATGATATTCTTCTTGTTGACCAGGATCTAGCCTTGCGTAATGATAAGGCCAGTATTCAGCGGCGTACTTTTTGAAATGTCCAGAACGAAACTCAAACCCTTCTCCATCGCCTTCATTACCCCGCTCAAGTGGAAGTAGCGACGTCCGTAGTGATTTCAGGCAAGTAGAGAACATTGCAGTCTGCGTCTTAGGGTAGCTGAATCTCCCTTTCCAAGAGCCAGGGGTATGCTTCGGGCTGAGTAAAAACTCCCTGACCGTCTGGTGTAAGAACGACAATTTGTATTCGCGATGCCAATTTCTTCTCATTATCACCAGAAACCCCGTCCAGTTCTGCACGACACTTGGGAAGCCTTCGCCCCAACAGTCGTTATCAAAATCTTTCAAGGACTTCCATTGATTTGTCCTCGAGAAGAGAATAGTCAGCGCTTCGTCTGCCTCTCTTACAGTGAGTGGCCGAGGAGCGGCCAGCATGAGTTGGAAGAGACATTCTGTCTTAGAGTCCAGGTCGTTATTCAAGCGCCCGAGAATTCGGTCATAGACCATTGAGACTTTGGCAGGTAGACTGTCAAAAAGTTGAAGGATGTCTGATTTCCTCATGTATCCCGTGGGTTCCTCTTTGATCATCTGAAAGACGAGGCGTAGCCAGAGATACGTGCGGTTTTTCATGGCTTTCAAATGCTTCCCAATGTCTTCCTGATCGCTCTTGGAAAGATGTCCTGTGATAGTTGGAAGGTTCTTCTCGATAACCAGTTCGATTTCCTTACTAATTTTAAGCAGGGTTTCATCTCCGTTGATACGTGAGCTCTGCGAGGGGTGTTCAGGTTCGAAAAGACCCTGTAGAGAAAGTTGTATGGCTTTCCAAGAACGACTTGTGATGACAAACTTCAAGCTAGAGGTTGATGGCGATCCATGTTCAAATGTGTCGTAGAAGTTCTTGAGATAGCCCACGAGTCGCTCTCTTTCCTTCGATTCACATTCGTCAAGGGCGTCCAGAACACAGATTATCTCACCCACGTCCGGCGAATGAATGCAACTTGTGAGGATGTCGCAGAGCTCGTCGAAAGAGTCTCTCAGGCCAGCACCTGCACGGTGGTAGGGAGTCTTTGCCTTTTTGATGAGATTACCGGTCCAATCTTGAGCGAATAGCTGATGAAGAATGGCAGCAACAGCATCACATGCCCTCTCTCGCTTGTCATCGCCACCTTTGAAGAAGAAATAGCAAACAGACGAAGTTGCAGCCCTCTCTGGAGACTGGAGAAGGCTTTCATCGATAAGAGCCCTCGATAAGACTGACTTTCCGTAACCTGGCCCGGCCGATATCCAAAGGAGACTCGAGGATCTGCTGTCTCGCCATCGACGAAATTTCGGATCTTGTAAGACCCACTCGCAAGTTCCTTGTACTCGCTCGGGATTGGCGTTCTTGTGACCTTTGAAATTCGCATACAGACTTTCTAACAGCCTTCCCTCAAGCTGGTCTTCATACTGAAATTGAATTTCCTCCAAGCCCCTGGAAATGTCTTCGAGAGCGAGTCGAGAGTTGTGGATTTCGACGAGCTGCATCTCCATACCATCTTGGGATGCTTTACGCTGAGCGGCTTCGAGATAGGTCTGACAACTCTGGTTCAAGTCGTTCATGCTTCTGGTCTCGGCCTTCCAACCATTCCACCCAAAAAGATTTTCCCGCGCTCGGGAAGTCTGGGTAGATGACAAATGGCAAACTGCATGAGCGTAGTATCTGATAATACGACAGTGCAAGTCGATGAAGACGTCGTAAAAGCTTCTTCTTTCGTGGCTCCTGAATGGATAGACAGAGCTCTCTGAAATTTTCCAGAACACCAACATGCGGTTGATCTCTTCGAGGCCAGTCATCATTGCCTCGTGCAACTCGGTGCCCGCATTCACAAGCTGAACATATTAGCATGTGTATTTAGATAGCAGACTCAGACAATTTATATCTTACAGGTAGAAGGATGGAAACTGCCGACCATGCTAACGCGGCGTACGGCTGTGTGCTGAGTGCAGGCTTCACGACGGTGTCTGTCCATAGCAGGAATTTCACCATCTTTTCGACTTGCGAGCGGACGTGAATACTCTTCCCGGCAAACGCAACTTTCCACTGCTTCTCGTCTCGCTTTTTTTCAAGATTCTTAACGGTCGACTCGACAAAGTTAACATCGAATCCAGCGTTATCCTCCTCATGTGCAGGATTGATAATCTTGGCGTAAGCTTTTGCTAAATCACCATCGCTCTCCTGGAACTTTCGAAAAGCTGCAGCCCACACATCATCAGGCGTTTCAGGCTCTTTTTGCTGTATGTCCAGTGCCTCAAGCTGCTTCTTTGGTGTTGGGTCGGGTGTATTCGCTCGAGGTGGCGAAAGCGCTGTGGGTGCGAGCTCAGAGGTAGAGGAGACCAACTTGCTATCGTCCGCTTGCGAAGCCGCCAGTCGTCGGTCTTTGGACCCGAATAGACGGAGAAAGGTATCTCTTTTGCGCTCTCGCGCCATGGCGATGTTGAGATCCTGCTGCAATGCACTTGATCCCCTGGGAACTGCCGAATGCCGCAAGGGCTTAGGAAACGCTCTTCTACCGAAGTGATGTGATAAACGTAGAATGCATGACCAGGCTGGCAAAATGAGTCGATGGACATGCAGTAAACCCCGCATATCACGTGTGTATGCTACACAGAGCTGCATCCGTATTCTGAGATCCACTGCTGGACCGCGATAATCCCATGCGGCGCAGCCCTCCCTCGCTCGTTGGCGATTTACTGACGGCCAATAGTCTTCGCCGCTAAGCGCATGCAATAGCATCCTCCTGAATTCACTGATTCTTGGTCTCAAAAGGGGAAGGACATCCGCCAGGTGACTGCTGATCCCTGCTGGTGGGTTGGTAAATGGTGGATGCAGCAAGATGTGGGCGACCCAAAGCCGGCATGGGTCGCCAGAGCACGAGGCGGTTATCTCGACAGTAAAAAAAGCCTACAATTACCTTGGTTGTTGGGGATCACGCGATGAACTTCACCCCGATAACAGCTTTCGTCTGCCCGACATGTCCAGCTCGTCTCAGCCCCATGATTAAGCCCGTTGATATCCGCAAGGCTTCTATCGAGAAATTGCAAGATGGCGCCGATCGCATCGACAACTTTCTGGCTACCATGGACTCAGGCCACTCGGACCGGGCAGCCATATTGAACGATAAGTGCACAGTTTACTATGTGAAGTGGAAGAAGTCCGGAGTCCCAGAAGACGTCGTCAAGGCTGTTCAAGCAGGCCGGGCAGCTGTCGAGGCGCTTACGCCAAACGAAACTAGCAAGGGACCGGTCTTCAACAAGTTGGCCGCCTCACTCAAAGGTCGATTCCGATACTCCAGTCAGGCCGAGGATCTCGAAGATGCAATCAAGTACGGCAAACGTGTCTTAACATGCTTCGCTCATGGTACCCACCAGTGGAGGGCGGCAAATGCAAACCTTTGCGATATGATTTGTGATAAGGGTTGCTTCTATCGCACCAAAGAATCTCTTGACGAAGCCTTCGAGTTTCTGGAACATGCAGGCGCACCTGGCATCCAACCGACATTTTATGAGTCCTCGCGACTTTCATATCTCTCGGCTGTCCTAGTGTCTCGATTCGAGGCGACTGGATCCGTTCAAGACCTCGAGAGAGGCATAGAAGCGGGTTACAAGTCAATTGAAACACTCCGGGACGGAGCCATACGTGACCACGAATACATGAACACGTCAGCGGCTTTGATTACGCACTTTCATCTGACTGGTTACTTGAACAGCCTGGAAGAAGCAATTTGACTTTCGGAGCTCTTTTTGGCTTAGATGAGCGATGAGCGATATAGCGACGCGATGCGTGCCTTTGGTCTCTGCTCACATGGCTCAATGCTCGAGCTGAAAAGCAGGAGATACCAAGACCCAAATCCGCAATTGTCTATGGAAACCCTACAGGAGGCAATGAAGTTTGGCCGGGAAGCTCTTTCAATCGTTCCGCCTCACGCAGAAAACGTGCCGATGCTAATAAGTACTGTGTCTTCGTGGATGAGGACCATGGCCAAGTTGACGCAAGACGTCAAGTGGACAGAGGAGGGTATCGAACTTCTCAACCGCGGACTTGAACTGAACAAAGGCTATACAATCGATAACTCTGACCTGTTTGCAAGCTTCTCGTGTCTTTGGGAGATTCAGTACGGTGTCCTCTGCGGGAGCACGTCAGATGGAAAACACATCGACATTCTCCAAAGGGCGATAGAGACCGGACAGAAAGCTCTATCGAACACCAAACCCGACAGCAGCATTATTGGAGAGAGAGACGAAAGAATCTTGCGTCGATGATGTACACCAAAACCTTGTCTTTCAAGACCCCGAGTCACGCCCAAAAATCAAGGAATTGTTCATTGAGGCGGCCAGGACAGAAACGGCGACACCTCTGGTCTGGATCCCTTCGGCACTCCAGGCCGGTCTCATTCACTGGGAATATGGAGAGCTGGCACAGGCGAACGACATTTTCCAAAATGCTATTGGTCTGTTGACTGAAAGCAACATCCAAGCGGCATCTGCAGAAGACTTACAGCAGACGCTACGTGAGATACCGAACCTCGGAAGCCTTGCAACATCTGCTTTATCGGCCGTGGGACGCCCTCCCATTGAAGCAATAAGCCTTTAGAAGCTGCGAACTGCATTCTGGCGGGGCTTGCGATGAATTCAAGGAACGATGTTTCAGAACTCGAGAGAAGATACCCCGAATACGCCAATGCCTACATTGACCTCAGGACCCGAGTTGCACATGCAAGTAGACAGTCCCAAAGCGCCGCCAACTATCAAAAAGACACGGCCCTTCAGCAATCTCTGATCCGGGAAATGGCCTCCATGAAAGAAGAGATCAGACATTTGGAAGGGTTTGAGAAGTTCCAGTTGCCCCTCAGCGCTATTCAGATGATGCAACTTGCGACAGATGGTCCCATCGTAACGATCAACGTGTCCGAACTCCGCAGCGATGCCATAATTGTTACAGAAGAAGGGGTTCAATCTCTACACCTGACGCCTGCCGCTCTTCAGAGCCATGCCTTAGTTTCCAACAGCCGTTGGAACCCAGCCAGGGACATCCGAAGACCGCCGATCTCCCCAAACGTTTCCACTGAGGCTGGTCTCCGTTGGTTATGGGAAGTGGCGGTACGTCCATTTCTGGACGGCACTAAACTCACATCGTCGGGGCGTTTGTGGTTGATCACTAGTGGTTTGGCGGGAAGGGTGCCGTTTCATGCGGCAGACAACTATGCCGGCGGCCCTGAAGAAATTGCGCCTAGTCGGGTAACCTCGTCTTATATCTCATCGCTCAAGGCCCTCAAATATGGTTGAGACAAGGGTACCGCAGCTTTTTCTAGTCACAATATGCTCCTGGTCACGATGTCCACCAATCCGCCGCCGCATCGCCATCTGAACACCACCTATGAGGAAGAGGCTATTGGAGCAGTTTTTGGAGCAGACAAGTTGCTTCACCTAGCCGAACCTGACCCGGAAAGTGTTCTCAAAAAGATACCGGAGTTTTTGTTTGTGCACTCCGCCTGTCATGGCGCATCGATCAACAACGACCCGAACAGGAGTGGGCTTTTACTCGTTAAGGACGGAAAGCCTGCAGATCTGACGGTTGCCAATCTTGAGGACATTGAGCTTAAAGAGGGCTCCGTAGCTTATCTTTCAGCATGCTCCACAGCCCAGCAAACAGATAGCAAGCTTGCCGGGGAGGCCATCCATCTGGCCAACTCTTTCCAGGCGTTGGGCTTCCAGCACGTTATCGGGACCATGTGGGGAGCAGACGACGCTGCAGCTGGGGAGGTAGCGAAGAGGTTCTATGAGAAGCTCATGTCACCCACAGAAAAAGGTATGAGAGACGGCCAGCTGAATGTTGCGACTGCGCTGCACGAGGCCGTCAAGGAGTACAGATTGGCATCTCCGGGGCAGAACAGCGTGCTTAAGTAGGGTCCTTTCATTCATGTTGGTATATAGGAAAGCATGCTATGTATGCATATGCAACGAATCGTCGTATAGTTGATGGTAGAACCGCTGTTCATGTCGCTTGACTCAATAGTCCCATCAACATCTACCCTTTCCATGCTTGGTAATGCTCCCTGAGAGTAGTCTCCAGAGGTCGATACTTAATTCCGAGTTCCTTGATACTCCGACTGTTATCCACGGCGAACTTGGTACCCAGGTTTCTTGATATCCACTTCCTCGTTAACCCAAACAAGGGTCCTATTACTCGAACTAGAAAGTCAGGCAGAAGGTGGTCTGGAATGAGCATTGATTTACTGAGACTCCGGAACAGCTTTGATATCTCCAAGAAATGGGTCATGTCTCGTGACGCCACGATGTATCGACCGCTTGCTGTGGGTGTTGAGGCAACTTTGATATGTGCCATGACAACCTCACGCACGTCGACTGTCGCAAAATTGAGGTTAGGCACGCCGAAGAACAGCTTGCCACTGAGAAGCTCGTCGATCAGAAACAAGCTGCCTGAGTCCGATGCGGCAGACAATGGTGGTCCAAGGACTAGTCCTGGGCAAACCACGACAAGATCCCATCGGCTTTCTTCTTTGGCAATTTCCCAGGCTTCCTTTTCTGCGAGTACTTTGGAGTAGTGGTACGGGTTGTGCGTTACGGTGCTGGTCTCGTTGAAGTACTTTTCGGATAACGTGCCTCCCATCTTGTCGTTGACGTCCTCGTAGTCTCCAAATATGGCACCGACTGCAAACAAGATTTAGAAGTCAGCAGCTTGTTCCTACTGAAACGACGTTGCTTCGGTCGTAGAAAAGTGGAATGCGTGGACATACTTGTAGATGTTAGAACAACACGTTTTACTGACGTTGTCTCTTTGACGCTGGCGAGCACATTTCGAGTACCTTCCAAAGCCGGTTCGACACATTCCTTCTGGCCGTCCTTGATCATCTCCGCCATCATGAACGGTGATGCAACATGATGGACCACCGAGCACCCCTGCATCGCCTCCTCGAAAGAGCCAGGCTTGAGGAGGTCGGCCTCGAAAAGCTGCAAGCGCCCTTCATGCTTTTCTTGAAGAGCATTGAGGGAGACTACCTTTTTGGCATTTCGGAGGCTGCGTACTGTCGCGTTTACGCGGATACCCTGCGATAGAAGTTCGTTGACGAGGTGTTGTGCGATGAAGCCGCTGCCGCCGGTGACAAGGTGCGTTTCGGCGATTTCCATGCTGTATTAAGAAGACAGCAGAAAGGCACTCCTTCTCTGGACGGCTGGTCTTTGCGTAATGTATAACTTTGGATGAATTCTCTTAGCATCCCATTTCACCCAGAGCGGCGTTGTCTTTTGTTTGTCAGACCTTTGTTCTGGTCGAGAACCACTAACTCTTCGGCGTCCGCGGATAGCCGGTCCGGGGGCGTTGCCATCACAGAGAGGCATTCTTTGGTGGAGCTGATCGACTTTTTCGCAAAATACGATATGCTCGGGTTACTCTGTAAGATCCGCGGGTTGAAGCCGCGATTATGAATAGAGCTGACATTGTCTCGTTGCGTTCTTGTTTGTGTGTGTGTGTCGTCGCATTAATCGGCGCGTCTCGTCAATGACGCGGTTGTCTCCGGCATTGAAACACGCATCCGTTTTACCGAAGATTGAGGGAAGATTCTCTCATGTCTTAAGTCATGTCAATTTTGGCCGCGGAACACCGAGCTTCACTTGAGATGGCAGTAGCTCGGCTATTCATCAAGAGGGTTGACCACTGAAGGAGCTGGGTACTTGTATATATAACCCCTGATCGCGTACTACATCGACCGAGAGGACCGTTCAAGCGCAACCATTCTTCTATGGAAACCAGCAATATTTACCGCTAAAAGTTTCTGCCGTCTTATCTTACCATCAAAGGCCATCCCCTGGCGTCGATCAGTCGTCAAACCAAGATGACCGGGCTCCATTGTGGATTCGCGCTCGTCCAAGTCTCGGGGCTTACTCTCCCAAGAGTCAGCCTTGAGTACAGTGGACCTTGTCTGGATGCCACCATGACAATAATCGCCCAGGGCTCGAAAAGTCGAAAGTATGGATACTTCCCTGAGAAAAACACATTTTCTCTGTCAGCACTTTTGAACATGTGACCAGCAGCAAGAGCGAAAACAGGGTATTTTTCCTCAACGAACTGTCTCTGAGCCAATCCCCTGTCCATCAATGCAGTTTCCCCGACGAGTAAGCCCTCTTCGGTGTATATACCCATTCGAATGGCCGAAGTCTCTTGACTCTCTACATCGTCCCCGGGCAGGACCCTGAGTCTAAGTAGAGCCACAGTAGTGTTGAAGACCAGACAATGAGGATGCTCTTCAGCCATTCCCCGGGTGTCATCATCGATATCAATGTGTTCGAGGGCATTCAAAGGGCCATGCACGCAATTGTTCCAGACACCAATCGGGTCCTTTCCAGGTCTGCTTTTGCTGATGGTGTTGCCAAGTATTTGCTGTGAGACGTTGGCCTGTTTCCCCATTTCAAGTGGCTTTGAGTTGAACCAGATTCGGTCTTCTTCTAGCGGCCGCAAGCACGTAATCCCATTGACTTGGTCGCAATAGAACAGTGAAACCAGGCTGCCGAAATGGAACCGACTGAGGGGACGCAAAAACCTCAATGGGTGGTCATTGAACAGGACTTGGCCTGCCCACGCCGCCCATGTCCAGGTGGGCAATCCGGGGGGCTTCGCCGCTAAACCTGCGTGCCTTCGTAGCCCCAGAGAATGGCCTGCAACATGAAACGTTCAGGAATACCGAAGAGAACGAGAGTGTTGCTCAAGTAACAGAAAACCTTCAGCACTCCCTCAAAAGCGTTCAGGATGTCGCTCCTGTAAGTCATTGCTCGACGAGTATAGCTCTCAGTCAGCCACCCATACATTTCGGCAAAACTTCCGTAGTAGGATTCGCTCTGACGAAGACTAGTCTCAAATCCCTGGCCGTGCGATTGTCGACTCATTCGTTGCAGGGCGCTAGGATCGGTCTCCTTTGCACCAAGTCTTGAATTGTCGTGGAAGCAACTGAAGAAGACGTCTGAGTCGCCGAAAAAGAAATGCCGGCGACTAAGCAACCTTTCTTGATATGTCCACGCTCTAGTGTTCCATTCAGACTTTTCAACAACCTCAGATATGGTGATCATGCTAGCTCCGATGCAGTGTCCGTCGATACTCAAATGCCAGCATCGGTTATCAAGGGTTCCTTGCCGTGGTCTGTCAACAAGACCAGGCAACCCAGTGCCAATACCATCAGCGCAGGCAACGATAGTAGCAAAGGCCTGCTGATATATCGTGTCCATGCTCTGTATCTGCGAGAGTTTGAGATCGTCATCATCTTGGACAATGCACAGTCGATCTACCCACAGGTACCGGCGGCCCATGTTTCTACACAATAGCATCGCGTCGCTGATTACCTCGGGTATCAGTGATTCCTTCAAAGATTGAGGTCTCTCAAGCTCATCCATGTTGTTCTTTGTCAACTGGAGATCTGCCTCTGGGGAGGCCGTCGCGGTTCGCCATTGATAACTCAGGGCCATGTATTCCATCCCCTCCTGAGCCCGAATGACACACCGAAGAGCGGCATCGATGAGTCTGAAGCCACCTGGAACCGGTGTTTGAGATATTGGAACATTGCATTTGTGGTCATGGTAATTGGTGCAGTTTCCCAGGTATTGCTTGAGCTTTGCTATATTGCTGTATGATCGATTCCAGCGATTAATAGCATGTATCCTTTGGCCCCAAAGCTCATATTGAAGATCGAGCTCCAATACTAGGGGCTCAAATTCAATGATACCATTGGACTCTGTTCGCAAGCATATGGGGAGAATGCATTGCTCAACCATAGCTCGAGCTTGTTCGTCGGCGGTTAGCCCTTCAGTGGGTCGACAGTGGTGCACCGGAAAAGGTCTCCAAATAGCAAGTTCAGCATTTCCCTCGCCGAAGACATCGAGGTAGGTGAGCTGCCGGCCTACGTGAGAACAGAGAAGACATCTTTTTTGCGATGAATAGAACTGTAACGGATGGAATTTGAGGTCCGAGAAACCCTGGTCAAATTGAGAATCCCTCTGCGGGTGGTCTTGCGAACCGTTGGCTCCAATGTCGAAAAAATGAGGATTGATCCGCGTGTAAGCTTCATCTCGACAGAATACCACGTGTGTGAAATCATCCCATGGCTGGCAAACTTCGCAGAGGAGCGGGTTGTCGGGTCGCTTGGAAGATGTGTCATCGCAGAAGGAACAGGTCCAATCATGCTTCCATGCATCTGGGCACCAACGGCACTTCTTCCGCAGGGTAACCTCTTGCGTGGGCTCAGCCGGTGGAATCTCTGACGCCGGTAAGTCCATATCCGCAAATTACGCCTAGCGAAAATGTGTCGAGGTAAGCCTGTTGAGCTCCAATACCGATTGAAATTCCCAACACCAGAGTGCTTTCGTGAAGCCCACTGTGAGTCTGATGATCAGGCAGCAGTGTGACGTCTTTACCCAGTAGAGATCGACGTGCAGCAACAAAATATGGGGCTGCCAAAGTTCGGGCGAATAGAAACGCACCATCTGTTGCGCATTCTTATGGAGATGTACATGGTCAGACATGAGAGGATTAGACATGTAGAAAGAGAAGAGAATAAAGGGCCCTGAAATGGTCTAATATGAAAGCATCGGACAATATATAGGCTAATCGACTAACAAATATTGATCGAGAAGAATTTCGATAAGGTATGGCGCACGTCTGATTACTCACGAGACTGAGCGTACACATTACAGCAGTGCGGGTCAGCGACTCAGTGAAACCAGGCACGTCCAGACCTGAGAGCTTTGATAGCGGACTGTAAGTCAGCTCCTAGATAACCGTGGACTCAACTCAGCGTCCACGCTTCTCAACTGTGTCAGCGGTCGATCTAATCTCCAAAGACATTGTTACTAAACATCTGGGAAAGGAAATGCTCGCCTTTGTAAGGACTGCACTGGAGACAAGAGAACACGAAGTCGGCATAGCTCGGTATACTTATGCCGACTGCCGTGATCAGGCGACTCCACACACTACGAGTGAAAGAGCACACCTTATCGGGGAGACTTGTCGTCTGACGATGAATAGCTGTTAGTCTAACTTAAGTTTAACAAAGGGTCATAAGATCTTATCGTCGATATTAAACTGCCGCAGATGTTTATCGTCGTCTTCGTGGGCCGTTCAGACTAGCTCACTGACCCAGTAGATCGGCAACAAAAGCTTAGCTAAAGCTTAAATCGCACTTATTTGCGTTTGCCTTACCTAAAACCCCTGTTAGTGCGTAATTTATTACCCCTCTATACCACTTTTTACTATTAATAATAACACTACTAATATTAATTAATACACTTTTTGATATAATTTAGGCTTTTTAATACTATTTAGAGCGTAATATAGATATAATATCATAATACTAAAGTAGGATAATAATAATCCTACCTCTATATAACTAATATAGTTATTAAGGCTGGGCCGCTAGCCTTATATTGTGAAATTTGACTGGTATTAACTGCGAAAGCTAGACTGGTCCCCTCGCCCTCTACTAACGACCTTTGGGTTATATAATTACTTAGATATCTTCTTTACCTCTACGCTCCTCCGTTAGACTTCGACTATTATAACGAGCTAAGTTAACTATCTTCCTCTAGTCACCTCTATCTCTATTAGTCTCCTCTATTTCTCACGCTATATTTGATCTACGCCTATCTTCTATCCTCTCCTCTACTATTCGGATATCTGCGCTATAAATAACGTCTTCCGCCCTACTATGTAGTCTTAATAGCCCTACTGCTATTAGCTATACTCTTAATATATTCACCCTTCCTAATTTACTAACGTTCCGCTTAGGCCGCCTTAGCTATCTTAAGGAAGCTTATGAGATATTTATAGGTATTAGGATTATTATTAGTAGCCTTAACTATATCTATATTCATCTTAAGGCTATATAACTACTATAGATCGTCTTTATTAGTTATAGCTTTAAGTAGGTATAGCTAAGTGAATTTAAGAAGGGTTATCTTATTAGTATAAGTAAGTAGGCTATAGCTAGAGCCCTTAATATCTTTAACTTTAGTTTTATAGATTAGGTTATCTAACTTAGTTTTACTTAGCTTATATATATATTTAAAGAGGGGGAAGGATATTATATAAGGTTATTACGTATATAGGAGGAGGATATAAGGAATAGGCTTAAGGCCTCATTTGAATAATTAAGTTCTTATACTATAGCTATAAGAACTTTTTTAGTTATATAAAGAGTTATATTATTAAGTTTATACCTTTAAATATAGGTTTAAGTTATTACTAAGCTCTAGCTACTGCGAATACTATTAGTATTCTATATTATAAATAACACCTTTATAATATTATAAACGACACTCTCATAATTAGATAATAGTATTATAAATAACACTCTCACTAGTATATTTTGCCACCCTACTACCTACCTACCTACCCTCTTCTACTAGGGATAAGTTAAGCTAAGAGTTAATAACTAGTTATACTAAGATTTATTTATTTACTTTATTAAGATTAGATATAAGTTAAAGTGCTACTATTAGGTTTAAAGTATAGGGAAAAAAACTATATAGAGTGAACTGCAATACCTACTTATATAGGTTAACTAGACTACTAATATAGTTATTAAGGCTAGTAGTATTATATAAAAGTAAGAATATCTCTTTTAAACTAAGATTTATACTAATAAGATTAGTAATATAAAAATCTTTCCTACTTACTTTAGTTCTCTAAGAAGAAGATTATAAGAGAGAGTTTATATTATATTAACTTTAATTTAACCTAAAATATATTACTTTTAATAAGATAACTATAATAGGAAGTCCCTAGTTAACTATAAAAAAGATAGTAAAATCCTCTATTAGCTCTAAAAGAGGTAAAGCTAGCCTAATTAATAAAGAGTATAGTAGTAATTAGAACTCTTAAAATAAAATAAATATAAAAAAAAAAGGTTTTATACTAATAGTAATATATATAAACCTATAATTATAGTTATTACTTAATAGCTTTAACTATAAATAAACTTTATAAATAAGTAGTATAACTTATTAATACTAAAAGTAATAGAGGATAATACTAATAAAGTTAAAGAGATACTTATAGAATAGCTAAAAGTTAATAATACTAAGGTTATTACTAAGCTTATAGTTAAGACTTCTATTAAGCTACTAATTAATTTTACTACTAAAGAGGATAACCTATTTAATAAGTATTTTTTACTACTTTTATTATAACTATTACTATTATTACTACCTCTTATAGAGGTTTAAATCTATATAGAGATTAAGATTATTAGAAATAAAGTTAAGATATAACTAAACCTTAAACTTAGAGAGTTAAACCTAAATAACTTCTACTTAGTAGTTAACTATATTATATATAATATAATCTAAGACTTTAACTATAAATATAAGTTATAATATAGTAACTACTCCTTTAAGTTTCTCTCTATTTAAATCTCTTTTACCTCTAAGTTAAACTATTAAATAGTATTCTTAAAAGAGATATTCTATATAAACCTAGAAAATATTAGAGTATTATAATTATAGCTATTTAATTATTAGTAATAGCTTATTAATACTATCTCTAATAATAATAAGAAGAATAAGCTATTATAAATTAAGATTCTTACTAATATTATAATAAAAAAACTTAACTAGTATATATTAATCTCTATAAACTATTATTATAAGTCTTAGTAGTTATCTCTAATACTATTTAGTATAAGTTCTATTTAAATAAACCCCTCTATTAAAGTAATATTAGTTTAAAACTCTATTAAGATACCTTTATAACTAAGTATTACTTTATAAACTTTATAGTAGAATAATAACTTTATTAAATCTCTTTTTATTAAGTTTAGTAATACTAATAAGCTATTATATTAATAGAAGTAATAGAGTAACTTATTATTAACTAATAAGTTAAGGTAGAAGCTAACTTAAGATACCTATTAAGTAATTTAAACTATATATAGATATAAGTTAGGAGTTAAGTATATTAATAACTATAATAATATTACTAGTAATTATTATATATCTTAACCTTTTACTTTAATAAGACTACTATTATATCTTTAAATTAATAAAATACACTTTATAACCTAAGTAGAAATTATAACTAAAGGATTAGTAACTATTAATAAAGTTCTAGAAGAGATTATTATAAATATAACCTTATATTATAATAGATATTTTATTAAAACTAAATTTAAGCTATAGAGTAAGATTATATTAAAGTTAAGAGGTAGTAAAAGTAGTAGAAGTAGTAGAGGTAGTACTAATAGGTTTAATCTACCCCCTTACTTAAATATTATAAACTAAGTAAATATCTTATTACTATTATTATATTATAACTATATACTATTAAATTTTCCCTT